GACTCACAGTAGTTTTTCTACTAGTGAGAACTTAATTTTGAATTTGGTAAGGCTCACAGTGGTCTTTCCACTAGTGAGCGGGAAAAAAGGGCATTCACAGTGGTCTTTCCACTAGTGAAGTCACAAAAAAGAGAAAGTATTCTCACAGTGGTCTTTCCGCTAGTGAGAATAAAGATGAAAAGTGCCCTCACAGTGGTCTTTCCACTAATGAGAGTTATGGAAAAAATTAGGCTCACAGTGCGTTTTCCACTTGCATAACCTTATATGTACATATATACAGTGCCGGCGGTGGCGATAGAGTCACTGAGATTGTTGCGCTTTAGTAAGGAAAATATGGGGGTTCTTAATGGAAGAAATAACATCGATTGAATGAAAAAAAAAACAATTGTTCACGGCTCGCGGAATCACGGCTCCGGGATATCACGGCTCTAGGAAATCACGGCTCGGGATCACGGCTCGCGGAATTTCAATCTAGAGAGTTGAAACTCGATCTAGAAAGAGCGTGTCGAAAATCACGGTTCGCTTTTCACGGCTCGGGGGATCACGGCTCGCGGAATTAAGTAATAGAAAAAAATTTTAGAAAGAAGAAAAATGAATATATTATTTTCTAAGAATAGCATTTTAATACAAAACTCAGACTCATCGCCTGACTCAAGAAAATAATTTAAAAAAAGGATGAAGTATCAAAAAAGAACTACGGAGAAACGTAGGAGATGAGAGCTGGTGCCGGCGGTGGGAGCTTGCAAAAGATTTGGCCAAAATCTATGCTGATTAAATCCAAAAATTGTTGATTTAGGAAAAAAATTCTCGAAAAGTTGATTCAGAAAAATGTGAGTCATAGAAAGAAAACAACCCGGGACCTCCATGTCAAGTGTACAAGTGGTGCACTCTCTTGACTTGAATCCTTCACCCTGATTGTTTTACTTTGTATGAACATGACATTATGACTAGAATCTTTATTATATATTTATAAATAGGAGAGGGGAAGGGTAACCGCCGGTCACCCGGTTAGGCAGCTCATTTGGAGTTGCTGGGGCACCGCCCAGTTGGCGTGGAGACTGTCGGACCATCTAATTAGTCTGCGTCTCGACATTAGGAATGGAGCCCGCGGGCCCAAATCTGGCATGGTGCCAATTTTTACTGGATCTTTGCCAAAAGATGATATGGGGGCATTCGTATGAAAAGTCCCCCTCCCCCCCCCCCCCTTCTACAGTATACTAACAGGGAGGTGCGAGACTTCACACTAAGCCGTAGGTGTTCACATCTCGCACCTCGGAATTGCTCATCGTATGAAAAGTCACTCACCCAAGTGTCCCCAGCGTGGTAAAAGCAATTCTTTGAAGATATTCAAGGAGTTTGTCGAATGGGGGATGAGTCCTGCATCCCAGTAATCCCCTCAGCTTCCTGAAAATGTCAATTAAAATTTTAAAAAAATTCAAAAAATGGTGTATAAGAAACTCTTACTTATAAAATGCCTCAGCTGCATTTGTAGTTCGCAGCTCCTCGATGTCAAATTTACACCACGCGTACACGCCTTATACACGCCTTGAAACCATGTTCCTCCAGATACTCGAGAATTTTCTTGCAAGGCACATAGGAAGCGTGCCTGCTATTAACTGGTGGAAAAATTTGAGCTGGGACCCTTCTCGTCAAATCCTTTGTTAGAAAACGACTCCTTTTACCCCATTCCTACCCTATTATTTTATCCTATTACTATCTATCCACAGTTCTGATTTTCTTTGGCCCTCTCATAAACTGCCGTAACCCCAAATGCTTAGTCATTCTGTTCCAGTTTGTGCCAAATGAAAGGCACAGCCTTGAAGTCGCGCATTTAGGAAAGTTTCTCTAACTGCTCTTATGGCAGCCTGAAATCAATATTGATATTGGATTCAGTCGGGTCCAATTCGCGCACCTTTTCGTAATCTAAAATTATCGTGATATTGGCATCCCTACTTTTCCTTTTAAACACTCTAACACGCTGTTGTAGACCGCGCGGTTCTTATGCATTATTGCAAACAAAATTGGAACCTAAAATTTTTTTGTAATCGAAACCGTTTAGTTTCAACAAACCTCAAAACTACCACCGCACATCGCATGAACGGCGTACAGCTGCCCTTTTTCTATTCCTCATTGAATCGTGATAGGGTTCAGCTTGTGTACCCCTTCTCCGATTAATGCCTTCAAACCAATTTCATTAGTCGCCTAAAAAACTTGAAGAAGTCATTTTTCAAAATTTTCAAATCAAAATCAAAAAAAAATACCGCGATGACTTCGTCAGAGTAGTAAATGTGCAGGTCCGGCAATTGAAGCTGAAGAAGTTTTGAATAAAGAAAAAGAAAAGTTCCGGTTTTGAATTGTAAAAAAATTTTGATAACTAAACACTTTTAAAGTTCTGAATTATTTCACCTTTTGGTCATTTTGAGAGATTGAATTTTTGGACCATTTTCCTCTAGGAAAAATTTACTCTGTGTAAATTTGTTAATTTCATCAATAAATTGAGAATTTTTTGCTGATAAAATTATATAGATATTGATAGCATTGCTGATAATATCGCGCTATACCTGAGGCTGATATCGCACCTCAGCGCGACTAAGTGCGAGAAAAAATCTTTGCGGAGAGGTATCAGACGGCTAGCGTTATTATTCTACCATATGCGGCTGCGCTGACGCCAGCTTTGGCGGCTGGCTGCGGCAGGAGTCGGCTGCCTGGGTACCACTTGCCCGCCTCCCCTAGATTTCTAGTATGAATCAAAAACGGAGCTGGGTGACGTCGTCAGTACTGTAGAGATTAAGGGCCGCATGCACTAACATCTCCGCTGGGGACGGGATCGCAACTTCAGAAGAAAGCTTCATATCCTGAAGCTCCGGATATCTGGAATTCACACTGTCTACCTGTCCGTAAGTACTCCCACCATCCTTCACTATGAACATATTGAGCAGAAGCGAGAAGCTGTACAAGCCGTTTCCCAGCTTTTTGTAGCATCCCTGATGATCCCTGGGGGACGAATATCTATTCTTCAAAGTCATTTTTCTTTCTCCGAAGTAACGAAAACCTTCCAAATTTATACTGAACATCTAACACAACAGTGCTAAGCATGTTGCTGATGAGAACAAATGAATTTTTTAAAAAAGGAATTTTTCGGTATACCCCAAATTTCGACCTGTGGATCATCGAAATTTTCATGACTTCAAACATCATTTGTTCTTATCAGCAACATGCTTAGCACTGTTGGGTTAGATAATCTGCACAACTTTGGAAGTTTTTCGTTAACTTCAGAGAAAGAAAAATGACTTTAAAGAAAAGCGCCGCGGATCATCAGGGATCATACAAAAGCTGGAAAATGAGGTTTGTACACCTTCTCGCTCCTGTTCAACATGTTCATAGTGAAGGACAGTAGGAATACTTACGGATAGGTACAGAACGTGAAATCCAAGTATCTGGAGTTTCGAAATATGAAGCTTTCTTTTAAGCTGCGATCCCCTCCCGCGGCCATGTTAGTGCATGCGGCCCTAAGAGCTACAAAATGATACACGATTTGCCGGGATTGAAATTGAAACCACCGAGGAAAGGGCCGTGGAGCACCTAAGGGAGGGAGCTAAGGTGTGGGAGCTGGAGGCGCTAAGGGTGCCTTCATACCGCGCCGGCAGCCGCCGCTAGCAGTCCGTAGCAGCCGCTGGCCGCTTTTGTCAGAGGCGCAAAATCACCAAATTCTTACTACTTTCAGCTGTGGGCTGCTACGGGCTGCTACGGGCTTCCAGCGGCGGCTGCCGGCGCGGTATGAAGGCACTTTAACGAGCAGAAACAGCAGAGTCATCGGAACATTTGGCTCTGGCCGGAGATCTCCGCGAATTTCTTGGTTTTCTCGTCAGTGCATAGCTCGTTCACAGATTCGTTAGGCGAAAGTTCACAAACTCGTTAGGCGAAGATTCGACTTCTTCAATCTAGTAATCCTAGCTATCAGGTGCGTGTACTTGAAGCGGTGTTTCAACCTCGACTGTGGTTTTTCTGGCGTCCTTTCACTCCATCGACTACCACAGAGCCAAAACAGAAGTAAGCTCATACGCGGAATCTATGAGGATTGTGCTAATTCTCTTATATATAAAGCTGAATGTCTGTTGGTCTGTCTGTTTGCAGAGGTGCGATGGGGGAGTCGGGCTCCCCAGAAGTGAAGGTGGTCCCAGCTACCACTGGCCGCCAAAAGTGAAAATGGTAGTGCCGGACACTCACCTGCCAAAAACGTCGACCGGGAGGTGGGGGAGGGGGTAGCGGAAGCACAGCTCGACGTCTCTTTTTGCAAAAAAAATTTGCTTTTTCCAAACTTACGACATGATGACTAGAGTTTGAACGGAGCGATCAGAAAAGTGATATTTACATCAAATTATAATTATTTACACTGCAGTCGCTAACATTCAAGAATATCGACAACGAGGAGCTGATGTTGGCGACGGCAGGGTGGTGCTATACTACTCAGAAAAGGTAGTGACTATCTTGGTGAATTGGTAGCAAAACCTTGGCCCGTTTTCTCAAAAGTACTTTCTAAAATGAAATGTGTCCCGAGACAAGCGATGAAGGATTCATCACATATATAAAACGAAAGACCCCTAATTCACATTCATCTTCAATCCGATGTCACGAATGAAGGTTGCATTGGCTATATTACTGTTGGCATGCCAGAGACTCAAAGGCAACGTCGTGCGAAGAAAGGACGCATCACAGGGAGAGGTTTATGCAACTTCAGAAAATGTCAAGAAGAAGACTGCTAATTCGTTGAATGAAATCAATGCTTCATTCGAAACAGTTACTGAACATTCGCATATTGAGCGGATGAGCGGAGCGTGGAAAAATGGTACCGATTCTAAGGAACATGATGACGGTATCAATCATGCGAACCCCAACATTTCTCAGTTGATGCAACACGGTGAAATTATGAGGACCTCCATATTACAAGTGAAAAATCCTGAAGATGCTCAATATGAGAGCGAAGAGAAGTTTGATTCTAGAATGGCGAGAGACACAGATGACGATGAAAGCGGAGAGGACATTGATCCTGATAGCGAGGATAATGACGATGGAGACAAAATTGCTTTCAAGCCAGCAGATCCACGTGTAGTGAAGCCCCCCAGGGTGCCAATATCCGCGGAAATCAAAGAGGCTGTCAAGCCTATCGATCTTCATGTGAGATTCATATCTCCCTTATTTCTTGAGTTCTGGTAATGTAACTGTTTAGATTTACGTCCACCTGAATGGTTTAGGAAGAAACCATGTAAGTAGCAAGAAACAGGAAACACACTTGTTCAGAAACAATGAAGTGTATTACAGAGATTTGAGTCGAGCCGTGGTTGGGAGCGGAAATCATGGAAGGTGATCTAGTTTTCTCTGCACAGTACACAGCTAATTACATTGAATAGAAGAGACAAGGAAATATGGCACTACCGCTATCATGGGCTTTATTTTTCAGTGATGGCACTTTTTTTTGAAAAGCTCGGCAAGAAAGAAGAATCATGACTTATAATAAGCGGCTTAATCTGAAGTTGTGTGGAGTTTGTCCGTTACGAAATTACAGTGAGGAATGATTTACGATACTAAATATCATGTGATGTTAAGATAGCGAGTATGGTTCATTTTTAACTACGGCTCACTTTGCAATAAACCGAACAATGATTTGAGAGACAAGCTCTCAGAAAGTGAGTTTAGCACGGTTCACGATGCCAGTGCGAACCTCTGCGAAGCAGAGGTGAAGCACTGGTATTACAATAAACTCTTTCCGTGCACATTGTGATCCAAAATTACACTTCTTAGATAATGATTATGGCCACAAACTTTACTCGTGTCTATTATAAATGGTTAAGTCCAACCTATGTTGAGCAGTGGCTTCACGTCGAATTCACACTGATGTGAACTAACTGATTTGAGCATAACCAAATTTCCTTACAAGACTAGGGTAGCGGGTTTAATCACATTACCTCCGAATGAATATGATAGTTGTGACTGGAAGTTTGTCACCATGCTGCAATGCGAAATTTGAAGCTCACATCTGGACCTGTGAGATCCTCATCCGGAGCAGTTAGAGCAATTTCTTGAGATTTCTCGGTGAGCATCCGTGCAGTTGAGCAAAGACAGTTATTTAGAGCTTTCATAGTAAACATATGACCTATTTGAAGACAAATTGCCTTTACGAATTATGCAGCTTGATTTGGATGAGGCAGGATTTATCGGGTACAAGATGTACTTGCTCGGTTTTTCGGAGCTTGATCTTATTGACTCTGCAGAGAGCCACATTCTCCTGAACTTTTCTCCTTGAAGGCAGCGTTGCAGCAGAATCGCTCTTCAGTGTCACCATTTCTGAATCTTCTCGCCATGATGAACCCATACATGGGATTTACAGCGCATGAAAATGATGAAGAAGAACCTCTTGTCGAGGCTCTCCATGTCTGCACTCGCTGAAACATGTTAGTGGGCGGGGTTTGGAAGAGTTTCGGACAGGGCCCGGCACCGATGGTTTGGGGTCAAACTGGACTTCGTTTTTGAAGTTAGAAGCAACGGAGACATCGTTTTTATGAGGTCCTGGAGGAAGCGCCAAAAAAAACACGACGAACACATGTTAGGTTTCACGAATTGAACGTGTTCTTTCGCAAGCGCACGAATTTCAAATGCAAGACTCAAACAAATGGCTTGTTTACAGCGCACAAACAATCACATGGCTCCGAATTTGGGCTATGAGTATACAATATTACTCCAAACTATGTTATGTAAAAAGTTCCCAAAACTTATGTGTCCTAATATCCGTTCTCGAATTGTTGATTTCTAGACCAATTACCAAACCAACTGGGTTGGTTCGGAGCATAAATATTGGAGAGTTCACATAAGTTTTGGACCTTTTTGATTTGGACGAGTCAAAAATCTATCATGTAGTGAAGAGAGCGGATCAAACCGTTGCCTCTCCCCTTTTTTGAGTCAAAAGTAGTATAATTCTACGCGTTGATAGATATCGCGCTCCAGTCACTTGCGGTGTCCGACGTATTCGAGGCGCACAGCTATTGACTTTGGCTCACGTCGCCCTTGGTCAGGCTTTTGTCCGCGGAGCGCGGCAACCTCCTTGGACTTTGAATTCTTTCTTGCATCTCCAACGTTGTGTATCTTCTTCTTTCTCACATTGTCATAAAAAGTCAACCTACGTAGTATTTCTCAACTTTTGTCTTCTGTTTGTACTCGGGGTGTCAAAACGGCTAGAGATCTAGAAAGTACTAGCTACAGTCGAGTAGATTTTCCCCCTAATATATGTTCACGCGCAAATTCTACCGCATTTCATCTACAATGCAAGCACGCTATATCAAGCAGATAATCTACTCGACTGTACCAAAAGGTTGACGTGGATGCTCTAAATCTATGATAGAATTGTTGTAATTAGTTTTGCATAAATTGCGCTGCATAACTACTTATAAGTATGTCTCTTCGTTTCCGCCATTTTCATGGGACGGTGCTTCTCTGTCGCCTTATTCGTTCCACAAATGGCCTGCCAATCCTTAAGAATGAAAATGGTCTGGGGAATGAAGCATAGTTTCCGGCTAGAATATCGTGTATTTTTCTTCTAGAAAGCAAGAACATGGCGGCTGTGCACTGCTCTTGCCGTTTCCAGTCTTTCAGTGCTGAGCGATTCAAGCTCCACGCTGTGCATGCTATCTATCGCATACTAACTGCAATGATGGCCATGAACTGCGGTATCTAGAAACACATCATCATTATTGACCAGATGAACAAGGGAATTTATCTAGGTTATTGGAACTGGCTAAATTGATATCAATCTTCGGTTGCGTGTTTGCTACACGACAAATGAAGTCACTTAACTTAGGTCGGCCCTTTGAAATGAGACACATATATTTAGGAACAGCTCGGAATGCTGATTCCATGTCCTCAGCTGCAAAGCATTCCTCTGAAGCGAGTTATGAGCTTGTTAGTATGTGTCACTGACATACAATCAAATATGGAAAGAAGGCCTGTAGACGAAAATCTGCACAAAGTGGTGGAGAATGGAAATAACATCAAGATGGAGTCATTTAGTATTGTATAGTATGCAATACCACTACCTAGATGTTGACACCGTAGCATCCGTAAGTCGGTCAACAGGCAAAGGAAAATGCTCATAACTCGCTTCAGAGTGATGCTTCGCAGCTAAGAATAGCAGATTTGAAATCAGCGTTTTAAGCTGATTCCAGTTATATGGGTCACTTCTCAAAAGGCCAACCTAAATTAGGTGATTTCCTTGTGAGTTCGAGTTGTGAACATGGTGTTTCCAACAAATTTTTGAACACTAATTTTCCCCTCAGCCCACTTCAATGTACTGGATGGAGGCCAGGGGGGAGTTAGTGATGAAAAGTCTTCCCATGGACATAAGTCGCAAGAGGCCTCAAATCCCCACATATTACATATCGTAAAGCTGTTGATGCGAAGAATTCAACCTATGAAGTCGCAACATGGTTTATGCAGTTTTGAAGAAGTTATGAGCTGTTTAATTTTGAAAAGCGCTTTTCTACCTGCTTTTCAAGAACCTGGTTCTCGGCGCTGTTTTAATGGATTGATACGAATAAGCCATATTCTAGTAAAACAAACCTCACTCTACAAAGCCTATGAAGTCGCAACATCACATTCAAGAATTATCGAAGCAGGTATCAGCTGTCACTAGGCAACTCAAAATAGCTTAATTTTAATTCTGTCTCTCGGCGACTACTTCTCAAATCGGCCTGTTTTTTTTTGACAGAACAACACTTACCTTTCATAAGCTATAAAGCTGCAGCTGCCGACATCTTCAACCACCAGATTTATAACAGTGGAAATTTCGCATAATTTTTATTTTATCATTCGAAATTCTGGTTGTCGGCGGTTACTCTCTGAATCGATCTACTTTTTTCGCAGTACATTATAACCAAATTTACTGAATAAAATACGTAAAGTCTAGCTGTTTTACTTGCAAGTACACCATTTGATTAACGCGTTTATTCTAAATATTTATGCCGTTGTACTTCGTAATCCCCCACAATGGTCGGTCACCTCAACGTGGCGTGAGGGTGACACTGGCTGTCGAACTGCGGTGCACAGCTTAGTGTATACTCTGGCAGGGCCTCCCAAGCTTTGAAGGAGTTCGACGTTTCCGGTTTCGGCCGGATGCCTAGCTAAGAGCCGGCCAGGCCAGATCCCCCGCCGTCTGACTTTTTCCGGTCTCTAGGCGGTTATCCCCGCTCCAAGCTTGGGGTCAGCGATCCCCCCGTAAAAACCAAGAGTAAGCCTAGTAAGTCTGCTCTTGAAGGGGGAAATTTTCACTACTCCGCCAGCTAGAAAAATAGAAAGAAACCCTGCGCAACGGTTCGTAGCCTACGGCGCCGGGTGGTAGCAAGAACGGTGTTAGGGTCCTCAGGGTGCCTTTTGGATTGGACGATAACGACATGTCTGCCCGGACGACACGCCACGGATACTGCCTCATGCTCTACACCTACAACGCCAGGACTCTCCGCAAACGCCGACTTCCACGCTCTTCTCGACGCTGCAAAGAGCATCAAGTACCACATCATTGCTCTGCAGAAAACGAAGTCCAGAAAGAAAGACGTGTGACAGATGAGTGATGTGCGCTCATCATTCGTGATGAGAACTTCCATCACGAAACGTTGGAGGCGTTGGTTTTTTCGTCCACCCATCCATCGTCTATCTTGTCGATTCGCATGAAATCCTGTCACCTTGAATAGCCATCCTACGATTCGACTTCCACGTCAGAAGACAATCAGCATCATAAATTGCTACTCGCCAACATCAGCAACTGACGATTCAAAGCTAGATGCTTTCTACAAAGACGTGGAGGAGGTCGTCCGCAACGAGAAGTTCTTATACAAGTTCGCTGTGGGCGACTTCAACGCGAAAATCGGGATGCTTTAGAAAAGGAACATAGGATCGGGAAGTTTGGATATGAGCTCCAAAATGAAAACGGCAACCGTTTCGTTGGAATTCTCTCCGACTTTTCCATGCCATTCATTCTTCATGAAGAAAGAGCCGGTGGACTTGGGAATCGCCCAACGGAACGACTCACGCGGAGATCAACCACATTCTCACCAACCGACGGTGAAGCTTGCTCGATATCTCAGTAGTTCCATCTTTCTGCAGTGGCTCCGATCACCGCCTCCTTCGAGCGAAGGTGCAGTTCAGTCAAAAGCTAAAAAAGAAGGTCTGCCACAATACCGCAAGAAGGAAAGAATCGTTTATGACGGTAACAGGTTAGAAGAGCTCATATCAAGTTGTGACTGGCCCATCGAGGAGGACCCAACGTACGGCTACGACTGGCTTCTGAGAGGATTGCGAGCTTGCGGAGAGTGCGCCTCAGTGACCTC